ATTCAAATAGATGGATTGCCATCTCACTGTTCCATTACGCTTTAAATTTTTCATAGTCAAGCATGGGGCGAAGCTCTAGATGGACGTCTGTTTCACTAAAGCAGAATTGCAAACCCTAAGACAGGTGAAACGGCGCGATTTCGCACTCTGTATGGAATTGAGTCTGATATTCAGGGGGCATTCGCCGCTTCTAGTGTCCAATGGACATCCCTCATGAAGATGATGTCTCCCTTCAATGGCTGCTGCTTAAAGCGCTGACGATAATCGTGAAACGCAAAAAAGCTTGCTGTAATACTTTTTCGATCTAGTGTCTATCTTGGTGTGGGCGGTGGGCCTTCACGCATAGGCACGTGAGAACTTTGCATAAGCGCGGCAAAAGACTTGAAGCTTTTAATACCGTTAAACCGGCGTAATTCTTGCATTTCTAAAAAAGCAAGCTATGCTCCTTGAACTAGTTAGTAGCAAGATAAATATTACCGTGAGCTCCACGGTGGTATTTCAAAATGTTGACTGCCGAAGGAGAAGAGCAAATATTCCAAGATTTGAGTAGCGGAGAGGTTGATCGCAGCAAGCGCCTCGCCTTTGGTAGGTGTATTGTTGAGTGAGGGCGTATGTAACATCTTCCACGAATTCAAATATTTTCCGTGATCCAGACTGCGGTTTTTTTCTGGGCGTTTGTACTGGTGACGAGACCGACGTGTATCTGTCCTTTAAAGTGTGTAGTCAATTCTACCGAACGCTTTCCGCAAATGTTAAAATTCAAGCTTTTTAACGGTCAAACATTGTATTCCAATATCTTGAATCAGTTTAGCTGAGGCTCAACCTCAGTGCACCTTTTATTGTAAATATTAGGTTTAAAGGAGCCCAAGCCTTCATCGGTAAATATTCAAGGAGCCCTTGGGGTTTTGCATAAAGATCTAGGAACCATACATCATTTTTTTGCGGTCGCCGATTTGTCTTCAAGCGCCTAAGTCGCTCTCCTTACCCCCAAGTCTTGATTGTCATTCTCCCTCGACGTCGCAAATCGCCTCTTGTCGCACAAGTGTGTGTGTTGTGTTTGAGAAACTGTTGTGAACAGCGCTACCGATTTTATCCTTTGAATTCATCGAAGCTGCTTGCTGTGTAATATGCTTTGCCAGTTGTATCTTACTGCGCATTTCATCAGTTTTGCCTTAAGCAACAAACCGTGGTTTCGGTAGATTACGAAGATTTGAATCGAGAATAATAAATGTCGTATTTTAGTTCTTTTTCAAGTTTTTCGTCAATGCCGACTGAGCCATTCGAAATTATTCTATGTTTTCCTGATTCGACTTCGACCTCCTCGTTTCCGAATAATTTCAATAATCGCTTGTTGATACACTCCATTATCGGGTTCACTCAAACCTAAAAGCTTACGAAGCATTTCTGATAGATGGGATTTTGATTACATTAATCTATGTGCAATGGTACAGTTTTCCATCACCACGACCAAATGTCCTCAGTTTTCCATCACCACGACCAAATGTCCTCAGTTTCCCCTCCATCAATTGTCTATTTTCTTGCTCGAAATTTAGGAATGATTTCTAGTTTGCAAACAGTACCATAATGTCACAGCAATTCATTCTTCGACAACACAAGTAGCAATGGGCTGGTCTCTCCCGGTGCACCTCGTCTCAATTTGGCTGTATTTGCTTCTAAGCGGATATTACGATTATCTATCAGATTATGGTAGAGAATAATGCCTTTCATCAGCGCAAATTTGAGCCGCTTTTAGTACACCGATAATCCCATTCTCATTGACTGTTACCACACTGTAACATTTGGAAAAAACAATGCCACCCTCATTTTAACTTTTCCAAAATTGAAAGAAATTCCAGGTGCATCAACAATAGTGAAGATCACCTTCCGATCACTTTGGCGGTAAATAAATGGTCAGATACCCCTTACCACAGCAATATTTATGCATGCTTTAGATATGCAAGTTGACACGTTGGTTTTCCCGGTAATTGTTACAGGAACTGGATCGGCTCTGGTTGCATTGCAATAAGCAGTGAGCGTGAACCTCAAACAGTAGTCAAATTTTTGGAGGGCATCAAAACAGAATAGCGAGTCAGCAAGCAAAAAGTACACCTTTTATCCATGTCATGGACGCAATATGGTTCATATTCTTTAATCATCTCCTTAAGTATTTCTAATGCCTCTAAAGTCTGAGAGTTGTTATTATCGACATCACCACCTTTGCCGTGAAGAAGAATGGATTGCAATCCTGTTCTTGTTAGAAAATTAAGGTACCAGCCTTAATTCGCTAGAACTTCTCGCAATTATACATCATTTCCACGATTTGTTTTACTCTAACTATCATTGAGGGCGGCTGATGGTTTCCCCGATCCGAAAAATCTCCTCTCTCATAATAGCTCAAGATTCAAATTTTTCTGCTGCAGCCAGAATTGTAACGGGAATCGCCCGTCAATGTTTACTTACTTTCTGAGGAAGGCTTAGGTCAACTGACATGCCTCACCGTGTGTTGCTCGCTGCCAGCGGGCCGTGGACCAATCCAAAGAGGAAGAGAGGTGAAGTGACGTTTATTGTTATAGCCAATAGGCTTTTAATCTCCCTAACCTGATAAGTGCCTCCCATTCTGATACAACAAAACTGAATGGGGATATACAACTATACAGGGTAAACAGTTGATGTTAGACACACAAGTATGTGATCCACACAAGATCTATATTGGAGCCTGCGTATTGCAAAATGTTATCGCTTGACTGCGAATGGAAATTTATTTGCCGGCTGGCAACTCCCTTCTCAATAATTTCGAGACGTTGGGACGTTGCCCCATCCCGCCTTTCTTCCTCTGAACGGTGCGAAAATTTGCAGACATTTCTGTACTCTATAAAGAAGTTAAATCGTAATTACGATAGACGAAGACTGTAATACGCTCGTCCGCAAGCAGGTGCGGATCTAGGGAAATGATGTATGCCTATGTAGCATTAGTCTCAACACAATTAACGCTCCATATTTATTTAGCATTGCAAACTAGTTCTTGTGATATTACATACTCCCGGTTTCACCCACTAGATGGAGCATACTCGATATAATTGCGTTTATTAACGCAAAGATTTCTCTGTGCGGCAACTCAATTGTACTATAGATGCTAGACCTTTGGGTATATTTACGCCTCGCTTGTCACCTTCTCATTTGGTTGAGCTGTGCAAGAATCAAGCTCCTCGAAGCCAGCTGGTAAAAATCATTGGTCAGAAACGTATCATCTTTTTCAGATGGCGGGCACTTGCTGAGTTCAACCAGAGTGCGCTGTGTCAGAAAGAATACCGCTCATGTATTGCTCTTATTTCAGCGAGGTCTGCGTCAAGAAAATTTGCGATTGTGATCGATCGGCATAATATACATCAAGTGGTACCTCGTTATGATTACTCCATGTCATGATCATACTTGATTTTCCTTCGCCAGTCTTACAGTACAGCAAACTTTGCAAGAATCTCGAATTCTAAAAGTTCAGTTTTGGCGACTCAAAATCTAGATTTACTATTGATTGACCTAGAACCCAATCATCAATATTTCTAGCATTGCTCATGAAGAATAGAATCTAGTTTTTGGATTGGTACTATTTCAATGACTGACGTAATTAGAGTTCTATCATATGAGCCATTCGTGGAGTTCCAGCTGAAATTTCTTACGCATAAATGGATCAGTACAATTACGAATGGATATATCATACAAAGCCAGTTCATTTTACACGATCACGTATGAGATAAAGAGTAATTTGGAGATATCGAACCCGGTTACATTTAACGAAGTATACACAGTGATTTGATGCGTACTAGGAATATGACGATAATGAAAACAAGGCACAGGGCCAGACGAATTGTAGACAGTGTGAAATGCAGCGCGATGAGGCATTTTGATGATGGCAATGATGACGAAACATACTTCTCTTTGTTAATCTCAACACGCATATTTCGTTCGACAACTTAGCATTAGGCAGCATTTGATAGAACAAAGTCATAATATAAGAACAAAAGAGTTTTCCTAAGCGCTAAATCGATGATGCTATAATTTTCACATGGTAATTCTTGGAGTTCACGCGACTTCAAATTTGAGAAGTCGCGTGAACGTGAGCAAAACTTGAGAAGTTTCTTATAAACACACCCATCAAATTCTTCTTAGAGGAAAAAAATAAATTTCGTGTAGATGATTCAATATTGATTATGCCCAACTTGTAGAAGGTGCAATCCTTGCGACACTAATGTACCACAATAAAATATTCCGACCAATGTGCAAACACATATTTCGACGATGCAAAAAATCAAGCTACTGATATGAAAATCCTGGTCTTTGGTTTTTCCATGGATCCGATCGACGCGAAGGAAGTTACGTATGGCTTGTATCCAAACGATATTAACTTAGCATCACTCAATTATTCTGTAATGTTAGGCAAGGCGTCGCCAGCACTCAGAAAGAAAAAATCCTTTGTCTGCTGTCTAAAATTTGGAGTTATTAGCAGTGATGCAAAATCATTAATTGTCAAAGCGGTTGAGGTAATTGCCGCGTTACAACTGCTCACGACGCACTTGATCACATGATGTATTCAGTTATCTGTTAAGTTCCCCGCTACTGAGATTCCTCGGTCTAACTGTCTGGCCACTACCGTTACAAACTCTCTTATGTACTTTAGTTTTTGTCAGGATATTCTACGTTTGTTGCTCCGAAGTAAGAGCCATGCGACTTTATAGCGACCAAAGCGATAAGCATTCTTATGAAGCTCTCCTATAAGCACCTTAAATTTCGCAGACGATTACACAAGTATGACGTTTGTCGTCCTATAGCATTATTAAGCTCTCTATGCAGTTTTGGTCCTGGCTCATCTTAATTGGGAAGGGTACTAAAAACCTGTCTCAGCGAAGCCGACTTTGAGACGAGAGCCGATCATAAAACACTTGATTTGTCATTAAAGGGATTGCCACATTCCGATTAAATATCTTCGATGTGCAGAACCACAAGGAATGACACGAAGTGGTAAGTTTTCATTTGCCAACTAGCTTTCAACTAAACAAGCGACTAATTTAACTCTACGCCATGACTCGAGTCCAAAGTGTCGGTATGTGGAAGGCTGCTAGCTTGCAAAAAGTACTTGAAAGTGTGCGCGAAGCTTTAAAGCTGTCCCCTACCACCAATTGCAAACCTTATGAGTATGGTACAATGCCGCTCATGGCGGCAGCTGCAAGCTGGCATGGAGAGTGGGATGTACGGCAGCTTATTGCTGCTGGTGCAGACGTCAATGCTACTGACAACACGAATTTAAAAAATACGGCGCTTCACTACGCAGCAATGACTAATCATGACTCGCTGACAGTTAACGCTTTGCTGGCGTTAAATGCCGACGCGTTCGCACGCAACCGTGACGGCCTCTTACCTCTCGACCTAGCACGACAATATCGTCGAGAGGCCGTGGCTGCAGCACTTATGGAGCACATGAAGGTACATAGCGGCTGGTTGTACGTGCATGGAAAGTTGCGCTGGAAAAAGCGTTGGGGTGTTGTGCTAGCCTGTAATAAACAACGCACATCTACCGAGTTGTGTATTTTTCAGCATCCTAATGACATTCGACCGAAAGCCGTCCTTCTTGTTGACGAGTCTGCTCGTGCGTCACGTATTGGTCACAATGACACTATTTTCGGGACGGATCGTAAATATGCCTTTACATTCGACAAGCCAGTTATGTGGCAAAGTGCAAAGCGACAGAAGCTCACACGCTCACCAATTTGTCACAAAACTATAAGCTTTGAGGATGTTCAGATCCGAAATCTTGTTTTTGCAGCCGACAATCTCCACAACCTTGAATGCTGGAAGCAAGTTTTGCAGAGCAGCAACTTTTACGACCACACGAACGGAAACCCTCTCTATTGTATGCCTCCGCAGGGAGCTAATCACAATGAGCTTTACTATTGGCCGCACGAGCTCTTTCATGGTATGCAATCGCCAAAATCACACCGACAAGAACTGCATGAGGACAGCGGAGTCCTGACCGATCGATCCAGTCACCAGCACAGTCAAGCGCAGATTTCAGAGAACGATGAACTTCTTACCGACACGACACGAAGCATGAATAAGTCAAATATTGCCGACGGCGATAGTCGACTGCGCATTCAACAAACCCCTGTGGAGATGGATCAACCAACACAGCAGTCTGTTCTGAGAAAAAATGAGCAAATCATCAAAAGTGAAAGCAGCATGGAATTAATCCAGATGTCATCACCAATACAAAGACAGCACGAGAAAGAGGTATCCACCATGTGCCCAACATGCCACGTGCGACAAAGTGGTGCAATCTGCACTCCTTGTGGTCATCGATATGGTTGTCATAACTGCTTAGTAAAAGTTACAAATACCTCGCAACGTTGTCCGTTTTGTCGTGGTCGGGTACGTGTAGTAATGAGAGTGAACGAATAATAGCAATAAGTCTAAAATTAATAACAATCCATGTGCATATTTCGTGGAGAAGAAGTGGCCTCCCTACGCCGCCCAGTCAGCGCGACTCATAAAAGAAGAGTGTTTGTTTTTGCTTCTTGAGATTTTTGGATGTTCGTCTTTCTTACGGCAATTTTTATGCATGTGGTAAGAATTGTAAAGTGTAAGGTATCAGTACGCAAAGGTACGGTATCAGTAGAGAATCAATCGTATCAAAAGTGTACTGATACCGTACACTTTTGATACGACTATATCTGTCGTTTCAGCGTTTGGGAAAAATCAAGTTAGTACTTTATACCTGTACAAATTCACATTGCACTTTTTGTGAAACCGACATATCGGTTTTATGAAGATGACGGAGCTCCGTTAGGAAAAGTCCAGCCGCACGTCAGACGATAAGAAATTTTTTAATATGATATAGTAAAATGAATAGTATTAGTCTAATAAGCATTATGCACTCTTGAATAAAAAAGCTACCAGACACCTACTTCTCTCGGTTCCGTCAAGGTTTCTATGTGTAAAGTGCACGGAAACCACATTGCACTTGATAACACGTGTGGTCAATTTCACGATCAAGTCGTGGAAGTACCGTATCTTCTGCGAGTGGAGCATGAAATGTTTGAGTACCTGTCTCCGGTACAACTAGACCAGCTTAACAGGCTTAAGTTTATTGGTGGATCATGAAATATCGACTAACAAGCCGGAGGCAGTAATTGCTTTCTGAAGGCGCTAAAAAAGCTTATCATAAGGCTTATTCAAGCGCGACCAAACCGGACGCCGGTGACATATAAAATGGTGATCACCGTGAGTGTAGCGGGGCTACCGTAGCTTAGCGCTTGAGGAAGCGTACTTTAGGTCACCGACCTTTCGTTCTTTACAAGAACCAAGTAGTTTAGCGGAGCGCAATCCACTTACTCCAAGAGAAATTATTGCCTTCCCAAGGGTAATCGACTCTTCGGTTTAACATACAAAACTGATTTTTATTTAGTTTGTTCTCCTAATTTTAAAAATTTCTTGAAGCTGCCCATAGGGCGGCTCTAAAGGGTGTCCATCCACGGTCGGTCATTGACCATCGTGTGGAATATGGCTTCCGCTCAGCGGATCCCGCTGTGGAAGCGAAGGACGCGGTAACTC